GATGTAAAAAATCTGAGATTGAGAAAATGTAAAAACAATCCAGTTTATTTCTTTATGAATTTTTCACAGTTTCTGTATAAGTTTGTGCTAACTTTGTGCAATGTTTCAGGTCTGCAGATGGCAGTCTAACCTAACTCCTGAATGGATGTCTTGCCATCAGAATAAAGGTACCTTCTTAACCATATTTTGGGGGGGGGGGGGGGGGGATTGTACCCAGAAGCAGTGTTGGGGAAAGTTTCTTTTAAAATCAGTGCATAACAATAATGCGCTAGTCCCTAAAAAAAGTATCTAATTGCGTGCGTTAGTTTTTTTGCATTTCTTTTTCTCATCTGGGCTTAGCTTGTTCTTTGTTTTAAATAAATAAGCCTCAGGCTGAAGGAAATGCAAATGCATGCCTGTACAGTAGAGGGTGCAGCCCAAACAAACCTTTCAGCTGTGCTGCCATTCTGAAACACAAATGTTATGTTTATCTAAATTATGTTTATCGAAAGTCATTTTTGCTTTTTAGTATGGGTCATCGAATGTCAGCAGCAAAGACACTGGTTAATTAAGTAAGTTTAATTGCAAAAAGTTAGCATTCTGAGTTTGCACTTCACTGTTTTTATAAGTAGCGGCATGTGCCATAAATTAAACTCGTTTACAAATCGATAATATTTTTCAAACATCTAGACAGTTTTTGGCACATCTGTATTTGAGTGGCATTTCCATGCCACTGAATGTTGTGTAATACCAGTGCTGCTGTATCTTGTTGATCAGCAAACTGCCCATTCTAGAAAACACATGAAATAAATCTATCATGAGTCACTATACCACATTATCAGTCGCATCCGTTACTGTAAACCATTATTTTTGCATAATGATGCATGCACAGTGTCAGTATAAGTATAACACTGGCCAAGGCAAGATAAACCAAATCTTACGACATTTGAGGAAGATCTATTTGTTAGTGATTTAGACAGTAGCAAAAACAAGTAATCGGAGTCTGATATTGATCTTTAAATAAATATAGATATGCCTATAATTTAATATGTGGTTAGTATAATTTTATGGAATTATGTAATAGGAAATACAACTTTTTTTTCTTCTTTTTTTATGATGTGAACATGCATTCCTTCTGGAGATGCCTGAATGTTTTGTTGAAGTGTTTGACTTGCTGTAGACAGATTATAATAGACATCCAGTTTAATATAATATCTACAGACCTACATTACTCTGCATTGTGAAGAGCCTGTGTCACTCTAAAAAGGCTGGGTTTTTTTAACCCAAATTTGGGTCAAATATGGACAAACCCAAATGTTGAGTTAAAAATGTAATTACAAAATTTAACCCAATGGCTGGGTTTGTCCATATTTGACCCAAAGTTGGGTTAAAACAACCCAGCAATTTTTAGAGTGAAGGTCCAGCACTCTTCTGAATGGCTGGTGCAGTTTTCATAATGCGTTTTGGAATGGTTTGTCACTTCATATCATAATGGTTTGTGGCATTTTCTTAATTTTCCTCTAAATGGTTATACCCTGATGCTCCGGCAGACAGCGACTTGTGTCACTAGGTTGTTGGAGGTGCCATAACATACGGCGACATGCTCCACAACAATCGCAATCCATTGGCACGTCACAAGTTTTAGTGGCACATGCCAATGACAACCGGATGTGCCAATGGCTTTTGTGCTTAAGATGCCATGACAGTTAATGGTAATATCGTTTTTGTTCATTTTGAGGAATACTGAATCTGTTTTTTTTTGTGTGTGTGTGTGCAAGTAAGATGAGTAAATGCATGCTCACATTTAGTCTAGAACTACAACCAACATGTTTACACAGCTCACACAACCTCTCTTCACTTACAGATTTCTCTCAACATGGGGACAGGAGAGCTGTCAGTCAATACATGGGAAAACAAAGTAACTTGTGTTACTTATTTAAAAAGAGTAACTGCATTGCATTGCATTACTTTACTAGTTACTTGAAAAAAGTAATTTAATTACATGTTACAATTTAATCACTGCCCAGAAGTGAGCTAAACCTGACAAAGACATCCTCATATGTAAAAACTGCATAAAGTAAATACTGTTTTTGTAAAAATACAGAAAGTTTTCTGTTAGGGGGTGGATTAGGGTTACGTTAGAGTAATTTTAAACAGCTGCGTTTAAAAACAATAGACGTCTATGCAATGCCCCTGTTTAGATAGCCAAGTAAACGTGTGTGTTCTGGATTAACGCAAGGAGAATGTTGTAAAGAAGGGGTCTCCATTTAAGTAAGAGAGATATATTATAAGAGCTGCGTCCATTAAGTAAAAAGCAGCATAATATGTCAAATGAATAAGTATGTCTGAAAACCCATTTTTACTAAGCGTAGGCAGACAATATCCAAATAACTTACTAATTAATTATTTTATTCAGCAACGATGCATTAAATTGCTCAAAAGTGACATTTATAATGTTACAAAAGATTTTCATTCAGTTAAGCAGGTTTTGTTACTTTTTTCTTCATCAAAGATTCCTGAAAATAGCATCACAGTTTCCACAAATTAATGTTTTCAACATTGATAATAATGAGAAATGTTTCTTGAGAAGCAAATCTGCATATTAGAATGATTTCTCAAGGATCATGTGACACTGAAGACTGGAGTAATGACTGTTGAATCCGCTTTGCCATCACATGAATAAATTACTTTTTTTTTTAAATATATTCAAATAGAAAATATTTTAAAATGTAAAAATATTGCTGTTTTACTGTATTTCTGATCAAATAAATCCAGCCTTGGTTGAGCATAAGAGACTTCTTTCATAAACATTAAAAAATATGACTCCGAACATATCCCTCTTATGTCACTCTGACACTGAAGGTCACACCAGAATGATCGGTGCTTCTGTGTTTGCATTCTATTACAGATGCCCACATGATTTTAACAAACGAAACGGCAAGCATTTGCATTTGTTTTGTTTATTGACACAGTTAAATCATATTAAAATACAGCACAGTGACTCACAACTACAAACATTCAATCATTACACTCTTGTAAAATATTTACAACTCAAAAGCTTTTGTTAACTTAGAATTAAATAGCATCTCTTCCATTCAAGTCAATGGCATTAAAGAAGGTGATCGATCATGTTGCTTTTAAAGTGCTTTATGTTTAATAGTAGCATTTGACCTAAATGTGAACATGAGGATAGCAAACATTCCACCACTGACGCACTGACAAACTGATGGTGTGTGTGTGTGTGTGTGCACTCTTGTTTGCCCAGAGAGTGTTGTTTAAAGTTGTCATCCATGTTTTATTTGTATTTGTGATTTTATGCTTTGAGACTGGCATGTGCAACGTACATGATCAGACGGTGTTGAAGGTTTGAAAGCTTTCTGGATGAAGATTTGATGTTTTAAAAGTTTAAATGGGAATATACAGTGGTCCCAAAAGGTATGCGGACACATAAAGCAGCTATGTGTTATTTTTCAAAGTGAAAATACTTTCTCAAGTCCTAGTGCAGAGACGGCTTTATTTCCCCGAAGAGTGTAAACAGTGTGGGTCTGTGACGCTTGTAGCATTACTCTGTTGGTTTGAGCAGCCCAACACGTTGACATTGGTGGGAGTTTGGTTCTGTTTGTCCAACTAATGGCTGATGGGAGGATTGTTCCGGAAACCCGTACAAAAACGGTTACTATTTTTGCATTTGGTGGCGCTAATGGCATTAAAAATCTGAGAGTTTCATCGTATAAGTTGATAAAATATCATACCGAATGGTTACTGCAAGCAAATTCTGAGCTTTCCTCAGAACTAACTGCAATTTCTGAGGCATTTTTATTATTTTAACCATCTTGTGTGGCTCTTTAAACAGCTTGAATTAAGTTATTCACTGAGAAAATAGCCCTCTGCTGTCCGTGTCCATTAAAATATGGGGCCTTTAGATGCAACACGTCAAGATTGTCACTGTGACATGACCAATAATCATCAATCGACCATTAGGTGATCAGGTTTGAGACATTAGGGTGACTAAAAAATCATTTAAAACCTAACTATTATTTTCTTTCTTTTAAAGAAATGCCTCTTGGTTTGATATTTTATCTAATGCAGTGAAACCCATAGATATTTGAGCATAGATTAAGTGTTCTAATACGGGATGTTTTCTCTTAAGATGCTCACGTTTAAGCTCTGTTCGGCTTTAGTTGGCTCAGTCAAGGGCGATTTGTCTCAGGTCAGAGGGACAGAGAAAGAGATGACAATCTTCTCAAACAGTGTGGGATTACTGTAAAGACAATGAAGGTGCAAATCATTTCATTACAGGAGGGCATCAATTATAAAAGTGGGAAATAACAGCGGCAAACATTAAGACTTTCTCTTTACAAGAGAATGCAACATTATTCTCTTCCCTGAGGTCCACAAGCTTTTTTGTGTGTTTTCTGTTGGCTGCTCCATCAGAAACGGCCTCTTCACAAAGTTGCACTACTTTAAGACATTAATGAGATTCACCAAACAATCTGTGCTGAAATGTGGCACTCGAACTGTTCAATTAAGACTGAAATGATCAAGGACATTGTTTAAAAAATAAAAAAACGTCACTCTTTTCTTGAGTTCCTTCAGACATATTTGCAGAGCATAGGTGTTATACCCAGTCATGAACAGCACAAGGTTTGTCAAACTCTCCCTCATTTTACACTTATCGTTAGTTCTTCTGGTTTTTAGGAGTAGTAGTGATGTAGTTTCTTACATCCCCTTATTACTCCTTATGAATGGCCAGGCCAAGTTTCTGAACATTACATAGACGTTTGCATGTAAATGTTGGTGATCATACTGTATGTTAATGTTTTCATCGATGACATTTGAGAAGTTTAGAACGAGTCATTTTTGCGGCTCAGTTTCAATACATCCTTTCTTTTTGGGAAGAAGTCTTGAGTTCTGAAACTACATAGCACATTGAACTGTTTTATTTCAAGAACTCAAGAGAATTTGAATTCTCATGACAGGACAGGACCACCGTAAACCAATTACTCCAGTTGTTGAGTTTGTTGCCCGCTGGTGTCTGTTGGCTTCTGTTGTCACATTTTTGGAAAGGTTTTTAGTGTGTGGTCAGTCATAGTCTTATCCATAACTATGTGGACTTCTGGGATTGATTGGCGACTCTTGCCGCCCGCTTTGGCTGTTCAGCTGGTAGAGACGGTGGCTGAGGTTCTGTACCTGGCAAGTGCCGAGAACGCATCCCACACGCATCAGCTGACCCTGCTGGCGACTGCGTGACCCTCTGAGGACATGCCGACGCTCCCGGAAATGTCCCTGAGCGCTGCTGTTTTGATTGGCCGGTGTGTTGGCCTGTCTCGACGGGGGTCCTTTATGCAGGAGGGCCCTCCAGACCGCACGGCGCTCTCTTGCCCCGGCATTTGAAGCTATTGAAGGAATAGTGATGGTTTCCTTGGCGATACCACCTCCTGATTCTGGAAGCTTCCCAGGCTTACTTGGAAAACTCAATCTGGTGGGAGAAAGAGAAATAATTTGGTTGACCACCAGTGGAGCACATGCATGCACTGACCAAATCTATTTAAAATACATCATTCAGACATTCACATTTTGTAGTTTGAGCATCACTTTAGTGTTAAATTAGAGGCTTGGCAGCATTTTAGGTGGAGTATTTGAGGCCTGGTATTAATCGAGTGTTTCTCTGGCTGTAGTCCAAGTTATGTGTGGCATGCACTGATATTCCCTCACTCTAGGACACACACTCCTTCACGTGCTACTCTTTCCTGTCTTCTGTCTCGCTCGCAGCAGACATTCAGAGCATTCGTTGTTTTTTTGTTGGAATCTCAGTCAAATCTGAGAAACGAGAAGGAGGGGTTAAAAATGAATAGACTGAGGATCGTTCCACATGAATTGTATACACTGTCATGATGGAATTTTGGGCCCTATATTTGCTATTCATTTTCTTATTTTATTTGTAAATGAGATTTAGTTCTTCAAGGTGAAGTTTATCCTTTCTGTGTCGATAGCAGCCTACATTTTTGGTAACACTTTGTTTTTTAAAGTGACGTAGTTACACGTTACTACATGCACTTACTATAGTAATAACAGTAAATTATGCATAATTACAAGTAACCAATTAAACCAAACCCTAATCGTAACTCTAGTACCGTACATGTAGTTAGTTAATATTACTCAGTACTAATGTAAGTACAATGTAACTACTGTACGTTACCTTTATTAAAATAAAGTGTAACCTATTTTTTTTCTCTCGAAATGAATTTTCCAAACATCTGCTATTGTTCAGCCAGACAGGTAATCCCATTGGAATTGGTTGAGCCAGACGCTCGCATGTCGGGTCGTCCAAACGAACCAATGTTTTGAAAGCGTCTCAGAGCCACAATGTTTTCCATTGTTTGGAAAGTCAGGTCTTTAAGAATGGATTACTTATTTCTTTAACTGTCACATAACTAATATAAGCCTTGAGATGGTTGCTTTGATAAGTTAAGAAATAAATATAATTTGTATTACTCTTCCTAAAGTGTTCCCGTGAATTGCAAAACCCAAATAGCAGCAGGGTTATACTGTTCACATGATCTGGACAGAACAGGGCCAAATGATTTCATTTAGATGTACAAGTTCTCTGAAAAGTGCAAAGTCACCTTTGAGTTGTGCTTTGATTTTTCTTGCTCATAAATAAACTGGCACCAACACCCTTCATGCCACCCAGTTTTACATGTCTGCCAAACTTGCAGATGAAGGCGATTATTTGAGATTTTCTTTTTAGGAAATGTTTGATGCAGTTTTCCTGAATGATTACAGTATTTATTTTATATATACAGTATATATATATAAAATATACAGTATATATTTGTATCCATTTAGATTATTTTTTTAAATGGTTTATATATAGTTTATAATATATATTTATTTTTTTAATATTGTTGTCACAGTCATCGTCTGCACCTGTCTGTCTTAGTCTGCACTACCCTCCCCAGAATCCTTCTTGTCTCCACACCTGAATTCACTCCCTCAATCATCCACCTGTTCATCGTCTTAATCATCTGTGTCACCTGTCCTCACCTCGTTAGTGGTCGTTTGTATCTGTATTTAGTTCTCTCTGTTCAGTCTGTCTTGGTCGGTTCTCGTCAATGTTACCTGGTGTTTGCATCCGCTCTGTCTGCCTGTACCTGTTTGTTGTTTTGATTTATAGTAAAGTTTATTGGAGTTCCTCGTCTCCTCGTGATTCCTGCCATACACCACCCGTGACAATTGTAAGCATGGAACCTGAGTATCTGTATGTATCTATGTGTAATTTTCACTGGGTGTTATAGGCTGTGAGTCAGTTTATGTTGTGCATTAGTGGGGGATAGTGCAAAACTTTACTCTTAAATTCTAATCCTAATCAGAATGTTTCTGAACAGGATTAGTCTTGACTGGCAGTAATAGAACACACACATGTACAAAATCTCTTGTTTCGATCACTGTGTCTCTCAGCAGTTTCCGGTCATAAGGAGCATTTAGTGTAAACCTTTGTTTAGCTCTTGGTTTGAGGTCCATAATACTATACCTGTTAGTTTTCTGTACACTTAGAAATTACTTAAAGAAATTAACACTTTTATAGTTTTATTCAACAAGGTTGTGTATCAAGGTTTCTACAAAAATATTATGCAGCACAACTGTTTTCAGCATTATGGAAGCTTGTTTCCGCCACAGAATAAAACATTTTAAAAGATAATTGTGACTTTTTATATGTCAATTGCGAGTTTATATCACGCAATTCTGAGAAATAAAGTCAGAATTGTGAGATGTAAAGTCGCAATTGTGTGTTATAAAGTCAGAATTGCAAGATATAAGCTCAAATTGTGAGTTTATATCTCGCAATTCTGACTTAACGCAAATTTGAGCTTATATCTTGCAATTCTGACTTTATAACACAAAACTGCGACTTTACATCCCACAATTCTGACTTTATAACACACAATTAAAATCGCAATTGTGTAAGAAAAAAGTCGGAATTGTGAGAAAATCGCAGTTACCTTTTTTATTTTTTATTCTGTGGTGGAAATAAGCTTCCATACAACATAATAATAAATGTATAATAAAAATAAATTGAGTAGCAAACCAGCATATTAGAATGATTTCTGAAGGATCATGTGACACTGAAGACTGGAGTAATGATGCTAAAAATTCAGCTGTGCCATCACAGGAATAAATTACAATTTAAAACATATTAAAATAGTTCTTTCAATTTGTAATAACATTTGATAATATCACCTTTTTACTGTAATTTTGATCAAATGCAGCCTTGAGGATAAAAGCATTAAAAAAATGGTACTTACTGAACCGAATATTTTTAACGGTAGTCTAATACTAATGAAATACTAGCAATTTATGTGTTGCTCCCTGTTAGAATACAGAGCTCATTTTGTCAATGTATAAAGAATATTTTAGGTGGCAGATGGTGTAGTTATAACATCTACCAGTAGGGGCTAATGGGAAGATGCTGACTAGCTAAACTTGGGTTAAGTGTAATTGTATATAATATAATTGGGAAATAGTAGATCATTTATTGCAAGATTTAAATTCTCTTCTACCGCACGAGCGCTACTGCGGGCAGTGTCTGAATAGCTGGCGTTTTCATTCTATCTGTCTGTCTGTCTTAGCTATCTATTGTTCTATAGGTCTGTCATTCTATCAATCATTCTGTCTATCTGTCTGTTGTTCTATCAGTCTATCTGATTTTTTTTAATTGAATTTGAGTTCTTTTCAAATCTACTACTGCATTCCTGTCATTCTATCTGTCTGTCTGTCAGTCTATTATTCTATCTGTCTAGCTATCTATCAGTTATTCTATCTTTTTCTGTCTATCATTCTATCTGTCTGTTGTTCTATCTATCTGTCTGTCTGTCTGTGAGTGTCCAGCTATCTATCGTCTGTCTATCAATCAATGTATGTATGTCTTTCTCTCTCTGTCTATCTATCTGTCTGTTGTTCTATCAGTCTATCTGATTTTTTAAATTGTATTTCTTTTAGTTCTTTCCCAAAACTCCTTTTTAAATTTGAAAATTCAATTTCAAACTTCAAAATTAATTCAAATTTAGAAATTCAAAGACATTCTCAATTACATACTGAATGGCGCACAACCCTGCTGGTGGCAACTTTTGCACAGGTAAGCATTATTCACGTTTCAAATTTGTATTCAATCAGTAATTAGTTTACTTTGTATCATCGTGATGAAATCGGCTTCTTATCTTAATTTGTTTAACATCCTTTCTTGCAGTTGCCCATGATTAGATAAGAAAATCCTGCATCATAAAGATCTTCTGAATTGAAATCGGTCCAGAGAGCAGCAGCCCAGCACCGTTACTCAATCACCCTGTCCCAGCATAAGCCCTTCTAAGCCTCTGCCCAAAGCTAAAGTCCTACTGTTTCACTGCTCCATTCATACACTTCAGTCTCAGGTGCTAAATTACACACACACACACACACACACACACACACACACACACACACACACACACACACACACACACACACACACACACACACACACACACACACACACACACACACACACACACACACACACACACACACACACACACACACACACACACGGGTCTGTGAATATGGAAGACAGCTGGGTGAAGTGTCTCTTGGATTAAAGAGGAGAGACAGAGGAAGAAGAGGAGACGTATTGTGTGGTTTTATTCTGCTTTGTGGAAGACTAGGAGGAGGAAGTCTGAAAGCTTTAGGTTGAGAGAGAGAGAAAGATTCAGAAGCGTTCCCACGTTAGTGCCCCGCATGGGGCCTGCGAGAGATGTTATCATGCACAAATATCCATCTTAATCTAACAAACTGTTAAGAATGATGTTGCAATCCACTCGTTGAGAGGCACATTTTTAAAAACAGAGCCAGAGGGGCTAATTTGGGGTAAAACTGCTTAAACCCACCTTACGTAAATTCATTATGCCCTTGTGTGAATGTGTGACTAAAAGAGGATTTAATTTCCAGTTGAACATTAAAGTCTTAAATCACTGTTTGTTTGTGACCTCATACGGTCTGTATGACCTTTTCTCACATTAGGCACACACTGCGTGTTCACATTTATTCTGTAAGCTTGTTTCACTTTTGAAGGCCACAGTGGAGTAAACTGCCTCATCCCACCAGGAGGGGGCGCCACTGAGACTGTTCACGAGTGGCGTAATTACAAAACCCAAACCAATAGGTGAAGTGGCCCCCAAAAAGACCTTGCAAACTAAGCGACACCATTAAAATATAAAACCAAGTAACACCTGTTAACAAATATGGTAGGGCTTTTTTTTTTTGGAATCTAAACATTTTAGCTAATACTTTTAAGTAGCTGTGTTGTAGTGCTTTTTAGTGGATGTATGAAGTCAGTTCCTCTAACAAAAACCCCCAAAACAAAACAAAAAGTCAGTGTCCAAATACTCGGTGTGTCGAATTTGCAGAATTTCTATTATTATGTCTGTTTTATCGTTTAAAACCTGAAACATTATTTTGTGATTTTTTTTAATTAATGCCACTTGATATTTTAACACAATTTAGAAGTAATGCAATTTAATGCAACACTTTAGGAGGTATGTGGATTGTGTTAAAAGATCTTTCATGTTGCAAATCAGAGTTAGGAATAGCCCGATCCCTATCATGACTAAGCGGTCACGATGGGGAAATCTGAGAAACTACGTTACAGGTGGCACGTCTCTCTTAAGCTCTCTGTGCCAAATGTAGACAGTCAAGTGACACACACTATCTCATAGAGAACTACAGGTCACACCCGTCCACACACACACACACACATGTGGCAAGCCATTTTAACATCCATTCTTTAAAACTAACAATTTATTTAGTACCAATTCTTTAGATACTAAATGTGACTATTCAATTACTCACTTTTTCTTATTCATTATATACTCTTAACTACCTAATGTACTAGTCACTATCTCAATAGCAACTATGTATAACACTGTAAAAAATAATTGTTTAACTGTAAGTTACTTGGTTGTCTTAACCTACATTTTTTATGTCAATGAACTCAACATTTTTATACAATAAATGAGATTGGTTTAATAAATACAAACTCAAAATATTATTTTATTAGAACCACATTATCTAAGTAAGAAAAATGTTGCGATAACTAACTAATTTTTACAGTGTATATAGCAATAGTATGTATTCAGCTTTTTTTTGTACGAGACATCAGTATCACAATTGTACAAAACATTTTGTAATAGGGCTACTAGTTACAAGTTGCTTTCTATATATTTTTTAGTAGTAGTGAAATTGAAGGAACAAAATAAAGCAAGCAATTAAAAAAAAGTATTACTAATAAATATGCTAGATTATGAATGTTAAAATGGCTTGCCATGACATTACATAGATTGCTAAAGGTAAAGTTGAATTAGGATATGTATATAACTTTAGCAATCTATGTAATGTCTACATTTTCTATTTATAGGCAATGAGATGTTTTATAGGCAATGAGTGAAGTTTATTTTGATAACACTAATGTGAACTAATGAACATACAGCATTTATTTAGCTATCTAATTTATCTAATGATATTTTTAATATTTTAAAATCAAAAGTTGTATCTGTTAACCTAGTTAATGCACTCTGAACATACATGAACAATTGTGTTTTATTAAAGATTAAATTATTTACAAATATTTTTGGTAGCCTAATCAACGCGCGCACGAGCACTAAACGAACCTTTCTTAACTTTGGATATTAAACCTTCCTTAATCATGATATTAAACACCCAGGAAATGGACTATAATATATAGGCTATATTAATATAATATATATATATATAACTAATATATAATATTAACAGCATGGTGTATTGATTCTGATGATGATGATGGCATCATCACAAGTGCCCGGGCGGCGCCGGTGTCCCACGCGTCTCTCACCTGTTGCGCAGCGGCAGCGCGAGTGTTTGCAGAGGCAGCAGAAACACACACACGAGCAGCAGTGTTTTCATGATAGGAGTGTGTTGTGCTCTACAGTCCGACTCGATGATGTTCCTCAGCTCTTATAGAGACGCGCTGCTGCCTGTGGAGGAGAACAGACGAGACAGTCATTTAAGGCTACTTACAAAGTTCGTCAGATCAGTAAGATGATCTACATTTAATGGAAAGTTACGTTTAAACAGAGAAGACTCTTATTAACTCCCTACTTTAATAGACACGTTAATGTGGGGAGGTATCCCGTTCATCACGCGGTGTGTGAGTGAAGGACTTTGATTTGTGTGGCTGGAGAAACTTTCAGTAGCCTACTGGCTCATGGATGGAGCAGATTCTTAAATACTGAGAGGGAGGAGACACGGGATAACTGAAACTCCACATGCGGTTCAGCCTTAGTTACCATTATTATTATGATTGAATATCCTCCTTAGAGCCACCAGTTCATTTCGCATCACTGCAATAAACGGTGTGTTTTCAATAAATATTTCTGAGACCACATGCCGCTGTTTGTCGTGTTTTTAAAGAGCACATCCTTCAGTGTTTTCTGTCATTCCAAAATAACTGGGGGTGTGGCCAATATGCTAATATTATTAGACTACGTATTTTTTCTCATTTAAAACACATGTACATGTAAGACTATAGCTTTTAAAATGTATATTAGTTCTTTTAACAGTGTTACTTTTCTTGATATTAATTTTAAATCTTAAAATTGTGGTGAGTGTGTTGAAGAATAAAATGCTGAATAAAATGTATCAAAATAGTTTATAAATATATGACTTATATTAAGAAATTAAGGTTGAATGATAGTATATCCATCATTTTATATATAGTATAGGATAAAATGTAAAAAAATCTTTGTATAATTTGCCCTATTTATAATGCACAAAACAGTGCAATATTTAATAAATAGGCCTACTACTTGAAATATATTACTAAAATAAATAAATATGTATTAAATATATTTAATATTTATTTATTTACTAGCTGGCTTTTGGGAGGATATATATATATTTATTTATGGGAGGATTTGACTTTTAAAATCTGTTTTAAATTGCCTATATGGCCTTTTTTCTTTTGCAAGTAAATTATATTATAGGAACATAAGGCTCTTTATAGGAACACTTGAGGGAAATACTGTTTCTTGTTGAAGTGTTTAGCTTCAAGCCTTTATACTGTGTCATGATATAAAAATATAATTGTGCTGTCAGGTGTGACATAGTGGCTCATTTTAAAGGTCAGAGACAAGGAGAGCGTGTTTGGTTTAATCGAGCTCACTGTGTCCTGTGCCCTTTTAAAGAGGATTTTAGAGAGCATTAACAACAGTTCGGTTAATGTTAATGAGAGTCAGTCTGAGACTCCGTGTGTGTGTGTGAGAGTGTGAGTGAGAGAGAGAGAGAGAGAGAGAGAGAGAGAGAGAGAGAGATTTACTGATGATGCTAGTGTGTTTTGGGATCTTTGTTGTCGATCTATACTATAGATTTGTTGTTTAAGGTCATTTTATAGTTAAACCTTGACCTTATAGTGTGATTTTAGAAGTAATCTAAATTGTAAAAGAGCACTAAAGTTTTTGTATGGTCTTTTTTGCATTATTCTTTTATAATGCAGTGTTATAAAGGTCAGGTTTGTTTTTGTGCCAGTGTGTTAAGAGGCACACATGTCTGTGTGTTTAAGAGCTTATAGGATGTTTATTACACCTCAGTCTCATAAATGATGTCATAAACTTTGGGTGTCTCATTATTTGAAAAAGTTACTTTATCAGCTTAATGTAAATAGATGAATTATTTCTTCTGTGAATCAAAAAGGAAAATGGTCTTATATTGTTTTTGCATTATTAATTGTTACTTTTGTGGCTTTTATTTTCAGTACAAACAAACCATACACTTTTACCATTAGCCTTCAGTGCGTGTGTGTGTGTGTGTGTGTGTGTGTGTTTTGCGTCATGGGTCAGACAGCAACAGGATACGTTTGCATTCATGCCTCAGTTCGCTCAGACAGAGCAGCCTGCTTGTGTGTGTAAGTGTATATTTGTGTGTGTGTCCAAGTGTCTCTCTTCTCTTCATTATTCATTGTACTATCATCCACTGTTATAAGAAACTCATCACAGTATTATTATAATCCTATTAAAAGCATATTGTAGAATTCAAGTAGTATATTGTGCCAAATTAAATTCAGGTGATAGCTTAATTCATCTCTGATCTCTCTCAGTGATAGGTTTCCTATTTTCACCCCAGATAGGATTTTTTTTTAAAGCAGACACAAATCCAGTTTTGACCCCTTTCTACAGTACTGAGTAAAGACAAGTAATGCGCTTGAAAAGGGATTTTTGCCTGTTGTTCAGTTTAATTAATTAAAATGAGCAACACAGTTTCTGGACATTGTCACTACGTAATTGTGTTATACGTAATTGTGAATTTTCTGATTTAAAAAATCATTAATATTGGCGCATTGATCAAGCTCGACCATTCAACCAAATGTTATTGTAAGAAAAAAAGTATCAAAGTTTTTTTTAATTTGCAGAAAATATTAATTTATCAATAACAATAAATCAACATTTGGTCACCAGTTAGGCCATAGACAGATGTGTTGTAATCATTATGACCACCACATGTAATCATTGCTTTAACATGCTCATTACTGTTTCTGCATTAATGAATAATACGTGCATGATGTTAGCTAATGATCTGTATGGTCTTAGAACTGTACATTTCTGCCATATGAACATTACTTTGACACAGTCACCTCTGAGAACAGAATACTCTTAATTAATGATATATATATTGTGAATAGCGCTACAAATAAATGTGAAATTAACCCTGTTAACATTATTGTGCTGTTTTTATACTATATTTGCATTTTTTTAATGTCTGTTTATTGCTAGAAAAAAATAAAAAGTCATTTTTTTAAACTGTATTTTTAGACGGTCCCTAATGTTGGTTGCAAACCTCACATAAAATGAATAGAAAAAATAAAACTGCTCAAACAATATTTAGTTTGAAGTACCTCTGATTCAACACCATTTTAAACATGCACATGATATACAGTAGTGGCTAAAAGTGGTCTTTATGCTTTCTTGCATAAAACCTGTAGCTGTAGTTACAAGTTTAGTGTTTTGGTCTTCCCCCATATTTAAAAAAAAAAAAAAAATTCCTCACATTTTGATGGAATGGAACTTGCAGGAACTTACAAATATTCCCTCCGGACATCACTTTTGGCCACTACTGTATCAGTCCAGTAAAGCACTTACAGTCATTTCAGCCTCTCACACAGCAGTCTAATGAACACAGCTACTGTACTTTACTGTACTACACACACCCACTCACCCCGTTCACTCCTCCAATCTTGGCTTAACAGCAGGTGCCCACTGAAAGAAGAATCAACCAATCACATCTGTGCATTTATGAGAAGTTTTAATGGTCAAAGGGCTTTATTTCAAATTCTTATCCAAACACTGTTTCATAAGGTTTCACAACGCAGTGTTAACAGCCCTTTGGAGTCGACTCTTATTTTGATTAAATAGGTGTGTGAGTGTGTTTTAAATCTATAACTCTATAGTGTTCTGCAAAAACCGTCTTTCCTTTGCTGTCCCCTGCTGGAGAAACACATTTATGTTTACTCAATGCTTTGACACAAAGGTTGAATTTGGAATAGCATATCTAGTAAGAGTATATGGTATTTCAAATCAAACCTGTTATAAGTACAGTACAGAGTGCATGTGTTGTTCCATCAATGTTTGAAATAGCATAGGCCTACGTTGATACACACTATATACTACAGAGAAAATTCACATATTATACAAAGTAGACACACATGAATGGATATCATTCTACATTAGCCTAAATGTGCAGTATACATCAGAGCACATTTCAAAGGGCAGTATCCCACAATGCAACATGCCTTACTTTTTTTTTGACTCATTATTTAAATGAACTTCCAAAAGTGAACTTATTTTTGAACAAACATGGATTGAAAATGCAAAATAGCTGATATTAATTCACGTACTGGAATTGCAAACATGTAAAGTGGATAGATCATGTGACAACAGTCTAGCATGCTTCTGTTTAAAACATTTTGCATACTGAATAATAGGGTAGTCTATTTTGTTTTTGAGAAATATGTAACAGTCTGTTATCCCAAAATGTAGTTCCTTATAGTAAAAAAAAATAATATTACAAAGTAATAAATACACTGATCCATGACAATGGCTGAATGTGATATTTGTGTGAGTAAAGGGATCTAATTTCTCTTGGGAACGAGTACGACCAGCTCTCCACTGTGTGTGTGTGTGTGTATTATGTGTATATTTCAGATATCCTCAGGGCTGTTCATTTATGAATGCTTGGGGTAGCGGAGAAATATATGTTCTCCCTCCAATCCTCATGTTTCAACAGCAGTATTCAGAAGAAATCAGCACTGACCCCGTAAGACAATCAACAGTAGGATACTATGTTATTCTCTTCACAGTATCATTCTCTAGAAGATTTTTGTGTGAATAAAGTAATTGTTCAAGTCAGAATTATAATCTGAATTGATGAGTCAACAGAGGTGATATGTGTGAAATGAGGTTTGTGAATGATTCAGAACCAGGTGATAAATACCCCGTTATGCTTGCTGTCGACTGCTCACATGGGATGCGTTTACAGCGACTTGCAGTCATCTGTCGGTCCACCATGGAAGCGAAAATGCTGCGCAGCCAATCTGACATATTTGATTTGATATTCAGGTAGGCCTATGTGTATCGCCATTACTGTTTCTGCATCAATAAATAGTACATGGCGTTGGCTAACTGCATGATCCGTATATAGACCAGCGGGCGGAGCTAAAGAAATAACCATGCGACCGAAAAAAAGTTTACGCGCAGGTTACGCTTTTCGTTTGTAGCATTATTACGTTGCATCTGGTAAGGACCTGATATAATCTGGACATAATGAAGCATTTGATTGTGGTCATGGCCGTCCCAAAAAGCATTATGGACAACAACAACAAAAAAAAGATTCTAAAACATAAAGGCCCGGTTTCACAGACATGGCATGATCCCCAAGTAAGGATTAGGTAGGCCTTAGTTCAATTAGAACATTTGAATTGCTTTTATAAACGTGCCTTAGAAAAACAAACAAAAAAACATTAGGCCTACTGGTGTGCATCATGAGACAAAAACAATTGCACTGACGTTATTTTAAGATATGACAGTGCAAGTTGCTTTCAGGTAAAACAGCTCAATAATGCATTTTAGTCTGTGACTAGACTTAAAGCCTCGTCTGTCAAACCGGGGGAGTTTCTCATTCAAAACCGTTTAAATGTTTTGGGTCAGTACGATTTTTTTTTAAATTAGTACATTAACACGGTAATATTGTGAAAGATTATTACAATTTTAAAAATCAGTTTTAATTTATTTAAAAATGTCATTTATTCCTGTGATGCAAAGCTGTTTTTTTCAGCATCATTATTCCAGTCTTCAGTGTCACATGATCCTTCAGAAATCATTCTAATATGCTCAAGAAACAAATAGTAAATTACTATTAATGCCGAAAATGCTATCGTGCTGCTTAATATTTTTGTTGTGATGTTTAATATTTTTCAGGATTCTTTGATGAGTAGAAAGTTCAAAATAAAATTTGTAAATTTATTTGCAATATAAACCATGTGGAACATTTATATATGTGGAACAAATGAATGCATCCCTGATGAGTAAAAGTAATTTATTTATTTAAAAAATAAATAGATAGTGACCCTAAACTTCTGAACGGTAGTGTATCTTTTAGAAAAGCTATTTGTTCTCCTTTCTGTTTTTCTTTTTCAATCTGTGTGACTGACAAACACATCTAGAGGGAACGTGGCCATAATTTGCAAAGCACAATTGAAAGCTCCCAGTGCGGATTGCCAGAAATTGCATCTCGGTGAAAGGCCATGTGGCCACTGGCCAAGAGAAAATTGCCCATGTTCACAGTTAAAAAAAAATCCCTCATAGGCGGGATCAGCTGCACTGTTCAATCAGAGCTCAGTCTGAGCTGAAGAAGTTGATTTACACATTCTGTTTCTACTGGGTCAAAACATTGAAGGGATTCTTCATGTAACTATCACTGTCCAAAATAGTGCATTTGATGAGGACTTTCAGTCCGTTGGGTCCACGAAGCGACAGAGTATCACATTTGTGATTCAAGGTCTAATGACGTGTACTTTTGTGTTACTTTCCATGCGTTTCAGTGAGTGAGCAGGGCGATGATCTCATCGATTGGAGCTGTCTCTGAGGGGTCCAGCAGTCTGAACGTGTGGCTGAAGGTGATGAAGTGTGTGAAGAGCGTGTTGAGCTGCGGGTGTAACTCCACGGCGATTGCCTCCTGGTAATGAGTGCTGAACAGGTGAGCCAGCATACGGAAGAGCATCACAAAGACCTTCTGAATCAAGAAGATGAACCCAGGAGGGAATGATGACCCTAAACACACACAGATATACAGTCACACACACAGATCATTTTCAGCTCATTGGTGCTAAGGCTCTGTAAACTTTTGAAACTTCTACATACCAGCCTTGGTGGGAAACACGCGTTCATCAGCGAGTATCTCCTGGATGTAGGACATGGCGTAATCGATGTAGACCGGAGCTGAACACTTCAGTTTCTTCCCCTGTTCATCTGTCCATTCATATAGGCTGGAAACACACAAACATAAACAACTCATTATGAAGGATCCCTAACAAAAATTGCAATGGTAACCACGCACTATAAAAAATACAGTAGTATTTATACAGTTTATAATGAAGTTACTATTTACTGTGATTCACTTAAGAATCACTAATTATGTTATTATCACAATAATCTCTTTAATATTTAAATATTAACTGTATATAGTGTGATGTCAACAGACACATGCATATTGTCACATGCATATTTCGCTGTCTTTGTTTGGTTTGTGATAACAAAGCTACAGTACTTGTTATCTAATATTTTTATACCATCTGAAATCATGTTTGTTGATTGTCATCATTGGGTGTTGATATGATCTGTGCATGCAAGCTTGACGACTCATATTGAAGTTTTTCAGTGATAATAACCACAACAGTGTTGCACATTTCCTCCACCTTATTTGTTTAGAAGAATAAACAATAATCATATTATGTCATTATTATAGAAAAATGTATTAAAAAGTAAATAAAGTTGACAAGGCACAAGAGCTGAAAACAAAACTAATTACACTATTATATAAATGTATATCATTTTGTGTCCTGTCAGAAAATGACTTTTCCTGCTTTGTTTTCAGTATTTTATAACTTTGTTTGTATATAACAAAATTTGATAAAATACTGATTTTAATGTGAAATCTTTTAAGACAACTGCCTTTGTTTTACAGTATATATTCCACCAAAATAGCAAAGTGACTTCAGAGCTACTATTGTAAACCGTTGTAATTTTGTATTGTTCACCATTATTAAACTATGGTTATCATGGCAAATTATTTTGTAAGGGTATATATGTCTCACTTAATCCTTTATTTAAGATGTGACTCATGTTTTTCTCGTTTAACTAGCTGAAATGAAGTGTGTGTTCTGCTCACATGTTTCCTTGGCTGTTGGCTGCTGGACACGTTATCGTTGAGCAATAATCAGACAGAGCGCTGAAGAACAGTGTAGTGTGCTGGAAAAACGACACAGCTGAGAGAGATGGTAAGATTGAGTTTACACACATTTACACATTTAAAGAGCAAAAAAAGAAGTTGGCAAACCCACAGACCACTGCTGAACTATCTGATGTATGTTGTTTGGTCACATAAACAAGCAAGCTGTGGTTTGTCATTTTACATGTTAATCACATAGTCCTTTTTAAGTGGGTAGTTCCTGGTCAGAATAAGTTAAACTATAGACCAGCCATTGCAGTTATGCCAGCCTTGCCCAACACATTCCCAGCATTCCTCATGCATTACTGAACACTATACTGTACACATGTTAAGAAATATTTGAAATGTTTCCCTCTCTAGTGTATTGTTTCAGCCCTGATTTGCTCACACAGATGACACTTTTGAGTGTGTCATCATTTTTTAGATGTTTGTGATCACCGTTTAACTGTAAATGTCTTAATTATGTATATCTCATATATATATATTCAGTACTTTATGTAGTGAAGGGGTATACAAATATACATTATTTCTTTATTATTTCATTTTTTTTGAATACTCACTGTTTGTTGCTATCCACTCCTGCTGGTCTAGGCCGTGCGGCAGGGCAGAGAGGGTTAAAAGGTCGATGTCAGTGATGCGTCTGGACAGGAAGTGATCTTTTAGGTAAGGTTTGACCTCAGCAGACGGGACTATATGCAGACTGTTATTCTTTCTGTACACACACACACACACAGTCAACAGAATATTCATTGAGAATTTATTACATTTTTATGAAGTTCACTTATGACTTGCGCACAGTATAACTAGGAATGGAGGGTCAAATAAGGTCACTTTTCGTTTCATGTTAAATTTGCATGTTCATGTTTTTATTTGATTTTATTCAATACTCATTTGAAATGTGTTGATTTATATAAATGGCTATGTGCCTGGCTGACTTGGCAATGAGAATTATTTTACAGCGAGCTTGTCTGCCAGTTAATTTGTGTTTAAATAGTTATTCTGCTGAGCAAATAGCGAAATATTTGTGAAAACACTGTGTGACGTTACACAAGGACACACAGGGATGTAGTTTAGTTTAGTTTGTCGTGTGTGCACATGGGGCTAGTCCATTACTGTATGTACTGAAGGGGTTTGTGTTCGCTTGTTCTTGTTTTCCGACAGCATTAGTGAGCAATCAGCATATTAACACTGGAAAGAGTGCTGCTTCCTGTAGACAGCCCTAATTTTCCTTCATGCAAATGAGATAAACCACACACACGTTGGAGTGAGGGAGCGAGCTGACCTAGAGTGTGTGTACATAGAGAGAATACAGACCTCCCAGTCCCAGTTCAGCCTTGAAATAACTGATAGTGTGTGTGGCCTTGTCCCTGACTGATTAAAACACAAGCTGTGGGGTGGAATATCTTCCATATGGTGGCCCCAAAATGAATCTGGATACTTATGCCACTATTTGGGTAGATTTACGCGACAACGCTATACTAAAAACGTAAAAGTTTTTCCTTTGCATTTTACACATACAGATGACACAAATTGTCAAAACGATCCCAGTTCACACACGGATCTGCGGAAAAACGACTAAAAACAATCTATTATGCTGCCAGGCCAGTAGTTGGCGATATCACTTTATAAAGAAACAATACGGGCCTATAGACTGAACATGACGTCACAGTTTTCACAAATTCGAGTTTTTGTAGTTAACCTGGAGACAATAACCGTGTTGTTTTCAAACACTTGCACTTTGAAACCTGTTTTCAAAAGTTTACATTTTCAGGCCCCCAAAACGCTGTTGTTGTGTAAATGAAATGCCAAAATGCTATTAGAAACAGAATATCAAAGCAGGTGGCATTTATTTTAAAGAAACAGAACATGCACTTTTTAATCTTTTTTTGAGATTCTCATCACACCCTGTTGAGTTATCTAAATCAACAACTCGGCTTATAGTTTTTTGTTTTGCAAACCTCAGCAAGATCCCCCAGGCATCACCTCCATCACATCTCATCATCGGTTTACAGTGTTATTTTGTTTACTAGTTTTTCTTTAGTTAACTAAAAATGAAACAAAAAAACATGCACAGATAAAGAATACAGGTCTTATAACCTCTTGTACTGTACAGTAAAATGATTCAAATGCCCATATTTCCTTAATATTGGCTTTCATATTTGATCAGTTAAAGTATTTTTTTTTACATTTTAAATGATTTAGTAGAATTGACATTGTTTTGTTGAAAGTTTGTTGCTGTTTTCATGTTTTAATGTACATATGGCTGTTTTCATAAATATTACAGAAGTTTTCTGTTATTTTAAGTTTAGGCGCGCATTAGTGAAAACTCACAAACAACAAAAACAATTTGTTAGTTATTTTTAGCATTTCCTTGTCCCACATATTTAAAATATTAACAAATATTCACAAACAGTCACATATTTCTAATTTTGCAGTTATTTATACTAATAATAGTATCAACAAGTACTGGGTAATGTATCTACCATGGTTTTGGGCATGTACTGTGGTAATATCCTTATCTTGGAGTTGCATGTAACTGTATTATTGTATATGAAAATAGCATATGACTATATCAATATACCACAGTATTACCCCTACAGAACCATGGTACATGGACTATTTGATGTATTTAATGCTTATATGAAGGATAAAGTGTTGATTTTAGGCAGCGTTGATATTAGCAATGCATTTTTCCCCAAAACGCCCAGTTGTACTCATGCGCAGGTACGCAATATGTAAATACACGGGCTGCAGCAGGTGTGTTTACCCATAAACCCTTCTGCACGGGGTCCATGTTTTAACACACAAACACATGGGCTTGTGGAAGTTTCCTTTGACTTTGAGATCCTCTCCAACACGCTGCACAGCTGAAACTACTGAACAAACATTCTTTTTCTGAAGGAATGCTAGTGCTTATCGCTTCAGCAGGCATTCGTCTGATGTGTACATTCCTTACTTTACCTTAACACACACTAGACAGGGAGTAAAGTATATACTCACACTTTGAACAGGCTGATGCTGGTGTGGTTTGCCTTCAGAGCGCTGACATCCTCTTCATCAGAGCTACTGTAACTCTGACATCCCCCCATATCCAGGATGCTTCTACCCATTAAATGTCCTCAGAAACACACACACCTCATTCAAACACAAACACACTGACGCACCTGTCACATAAACAAACACAGCAGTTCCCGATGCGCATGTTGTCTGTCCAATCCTGAGGTCTACGCACAGACCGTCTCTCAGTCCAGCTTTCTGTCTGGTTTCCCTTGCTGGTAAATGTGTTTGTGTTCTCTCTGCTGTTCTTTGTGTGTCCTACACTTCAGGCTGAGTCGCACTGTGTCTCCGGTGAAGCAGACGGACAGGTTCCACCAGTCCTGAAAAATATTTACTCTCTTTACACACTCACTCAAAGCCACGCCCCCATCTCTAGGCTTCCCCGCCTCCTCTCACCTGAGGCCCCGCCCCCTCCTGCCTCCAGGGGAACTTTCACTTTCTGTGCACTTCACACAGGATTGGTCATTCCGAGTCGTTGCATTTTTGATCATTTGGTTTCATACTTTAGGTTCATGATGACAGAAGGCGGAACAACAGGTATGGTTCATCCAAAATGTATGAACGCCACTACATTAAATATAAAGGTAACACTTTTCTAACTTCTCATTTGATTAAAATTAGTTTAAATTTAACAATACATAATACTTGCACATTTATTAATTCCTAGTGAATGTCTCAACTAACATCAACTGATATATTTTTTAAACCTTATATTAAAAACATATTAGTAAATGTTAATCCACTGTGAACCAACATAAACAATTAACTAACTATAACAAAGATTAAAAAAAAGCATTGCTTATTAGTTCATGTTAGCTAATGCATTAACTAATGTTAACAAATGAGATTGTACGATGTTACCAATGTATAACCAAATGGTATTTGCAAAAAAAATAAAAAATCTATATACACAAGTGAAAAAAAATATAATTAATTTTGTATTACATTAATCAGGCACTGAATGTCTAGAAATTATGCACACATTTACTGGATACTAGTTTTACACCAATTAATTTCTGTGAAAAAGTGGACCTACGCTACTTAACACTTTAATATAACTTTGTTATATGCATGTGATTGCAAAAATTATACTGCATTTTCCCCCCTAATATTATTCTTTATACTTAAATTATTGTAAAATTGAGATTTGTCTTTTATTTTATTTTTCTATGTGATTATTATTACTATTATTCAGTGTTTCACATGCTAAAACAGAGGATGAAATGTGCTTAATGAATACATTTGCCTTGACTTGCCAAAGTATGTGAACAAGTTTTGGTAACACTTTACAGTAATGTGTTTGTTAACATTAGTTAATGTATTAACTAACATGAACTAACTATTAGCATTATATGAATTTGTTTTATTGGTTTCCACACCCAATTTATACACAGGCTGCCTACTAGCTAGATTAAATATATCCATTAACTCAGGTCCTGTCCATTTACAGTGTAATAATACTAACTTTCATAGTTGTTCAAAATTAATACTACTATGTACAATAATACAATGTTTAAGAAAAAAATGTCAATCTACTATATGTCATAATCATTTGTTAACAGTCAAGTATTCATTACTTCAATGAGCTCATTGCTTCTGCCTTAAAATATTACATTGTCTAAATTAATACATTTTTAGCTAACTGTGATTTGTATATGTACATTTCTGAAATACATAACTTAGTTACCTCTAATAACAGATCACTCTAAATTGAAACGTGGAAAAGCGCTATACAAATAATTAAATGTGAATTGAACAACACACATTTGACACACAAAACCATTTGGAATATTTATTTGTTTGATATCGGATTTTAAAGCCTAACTCTGACAACAGGTAACAGGTACAGTATTGCATTATACCAAAAAAAAAAAAAAAAAAGGAAACCACCAGCATCAGTTTACAATAAAAAGGCATTTGACTAAATGACAACAGTGTTCCAGTTTCATACTATGGACATACGCTCAAGGCAGAACATACCACAAAATATTGTACCAGTTCATAACATACAATATGAGTTTGTGTTTTTGGGTACATGAATACACACAAGAGCTGAAGAGAAAAGAACCCAACAACATAAATTTCACATTGCAGGTTCAGATACATCTATTTTTCAGCTATAAAATCTTCATTGTGGTGTGGAGGAAGGGGATATGAAACAACAATTGGGGAAAAAAGTGTAAATTAGCATCACAAATTGTGTGTTCCACATGTGGCATCACATTGGCATAATTCTTACGTCACAGTTTTGATTAAAAAAAAAAACTATTTCTTTCTCGTTCTCATGCCCTGTACTGTAAAAAGTAATCAGTTGACTTAACTTTAAAAAAACTGAGGAAACCATTGCCTCAAAATTAAGTTATGTGAAATTGTCAAGTTCACAACTTAATTTTTTCAATTACGCATGGTTTATTAATTAATAATTTTTAGTTATGTGAATTGAACTTGACAATTCCACATACAGTAACTTATTTTTTTTTCCAATTATGCATGAAGTTTATTTACTTAATTTTAAAGGCAACGGGTTTCAAATGACTTTTTACAGCATTGACAAACTATAAGAGAACTTTCCAAACCAGTGTAACGGTACCTGACAGGTCAACTAAAGATGTTAGCTCAATTACTGACAGAAAGAAATGCTTGGACTAGAGTACACTTAGAAAAAGTGGTTAATATGTACGTGGAAGACGATAAAAGGAGATTAGTGTCTTGCCTTTATTTCTAAAGTCCTTTAAGTCCTTAAGCCCTTCCACAACTAAAAGTGGCAGTATTTAAGTGCTGAATTAAAGTTAAACACAAAAACAAACAAAAGAACGATCAAATGTCAGTCTCCGGAAGGAGAGAATGAAACCCTGTCATCCAGAATGGCAGAAAGATGGAATATTAAAGAGATATTTTGGCCAAAAATAATAATGATTTAAAATAAACATTAAAAACTATGAATTACATTCAAGCACAGAGCCTGGTACGGATCGGTCACCATTTCTCTCGAGTCTCGCTCAAAGTCTCCTAAACAAACAAACAAACAAACAAACACACTCGTATCGGCAAACATCTGCAATATCAATAACACAACGGCTTGTAAATTCAAAATTGCACATAGACCGAACAATGACCGAGGGCTCTCATTATCGTCATCGTACCGCCACTAACATCCCAATGTATTTGGTATCAAAATCAAGTTTTTAAAAGTGCAAAAATCAAACTGAAAACACACCGAGCCTCTTTAACATTCACACACACACACACCCACTCTAACAAACAGTTTGTGTGCCTGTGTGCACATTTCGTCAAAGCTAGATTACTAAAAAAGAAAAAAATCCCTAGAAATTATCCATACTATTATTGCTATCTCTCTAGATTGAAATGGACACTGCAGCGTTCTAGTGTTGCGCTAGTAATTAGTCATAAAAAATATAATATTAAGAGTACATAGCGTAAAGAAAACACATTATTACTAAGACCTGACAGTGATCTAGGAAGATTGATTAAGGATATGTGCGCACACGTTAAACATACTGATGTGTCATTCTCTGATATTTCAAGGCACACGCGCCCTCGGTTCTTCTTTTGCACATAGACTCGCTCTGACACACGACGTTCACCTGAGAGTTCGTTCAAACGCCAACCACAAACACAATCAGAGTCAAAGAGTCTCACATAAACACGTTTAAAGGAATAGTTCGCTCAAAAATTTTATTCTGTCATTATTTACTCGCCCTCATAATGCCGTTCTAAACCTGAATGACATTCCTTCCATGCGTGGAACGTTGGTTCATACGACTTCTGCGCTATCGTTCTATAAAAAAATCTGTGCATGTTTGAAACCTGATGGTGTGTAAGTAACAAAGCTTTTTTTTTAGGTGAACTATTCCTTTAAGATGAAAGCAGCCCACAACAACAGAACTATTGAGACCTACTCCCAATTATTTTCGCTCATATACGTGTGTTTCTGTGGATGGTGGGCAGAACTGGAAACATAAATGCTGTGGAAACGTAAGTGCAAACAAATCAGCACTGAAATAAAATCAGTACCGGGCCCAAGGGCTACAGCAAACAGAGACTGATCAAGACAGAACACACACACACATTCTTGTTCATCTTTGTGAAGACATTCATTGACACAACGCAATCTCTAGCGCTTACCCTAACCATCACAACTAAGGCCCTGTTTACACCTGGTATTAAGATGCGTTTTGGTCAATCGAATTACAAGTGGACGTTTAACCGGGGTCTAAAACGTTTTGAGCTTGTCCACTTTCGACCACTTCCAGAGTTAATCGAAAGCACATTCGACCAGATTGTTTTCGTAGTGTAAACGCTCATGTGGTCGAATGTGTTCAAACAGCCACAAAAGAGCGCCTAATCTCCGCCTACTGACATAATGCGTAAATATATAATATAATAAATATAATATGGGAAGCGCGCTAGCCAGATGGGATTTAAGATCAGCTGGAGACCCAAGTTTGGTTTGAAGACGAAAAACATACCAAGCTCAATGTTCTCTCACCATTCCTGATTTCACTCATCGCATTCGGCGTGGTCTTCAGAGCAGAAACGAAAGCTGCTGCTCTCCGTATTTCTTTCCGTCATCTCCGGTCGTGTTGAGACGGATTAAAATACCAGGTGTAAACAGGAATGTGTCTCCCTCATCTACTTGTGATCCGAATTGACCAAAACACAGATTGATCCAAGTGCCTAACCCGATCCCTTACCCTAAACCGAATTATAACCTTTTCCCTAAAACCAAGTCTTGACCCTCAAACAGGCCTTTAAAGGGTTCTCAGAGAGGTTCTCGCTTTACTCTCTTTGTCCTCAATCCGATGGTCTAAAACTCAAACCGGTCCTCACAAAGATAGTTGTACAAAAAAAAAACCACACACACACACAGTCGCAAACACACACTTGATATCATGCCTTGTTCTAAATAGAAAACACTGGTTTAGAAACATCACGCCTGTCAACGTACCAAGCATTTTTATGCATATACGTGAGAATCCATCAGGGGACCTCCATCTTATTCTAGTTCCACAACGCTCAACACGCACACAGACTGTAGTGGGGCCGCTCTCACAGGGTTCAAAGGTCAGTGCTCCAACAGTGAGGATGTCTTCGTTAGAAAAGACAAGAGATCATTCAGAGTACCGCTCATGCTCAAACTAAAAAGACCCACGCAACTACACTGCAGATCGATGGGAACAGCAAATGCCAAAACAGGGAAACCACAGCATTTAACATTTCATGAGCGGAGTGACGGTTTTCATGGGGATGGAGGCGAGTCAAACGCTGTTACATTGGGCCATTACTACTGGAGTCGCCCCTGTGGAATGAGACATTTGTAGGCTTTAAATACATGTCCAGTAATTTCCTATGGAAGAACACTCAAATGTATCTATATTTACTTCTGCTCCTTGGGCGACTGAGTACCAGTGATGGGTATCACCATGGTTCCTGTTGCTATGACATCTGTTGCTTTGGCATTAGTGTCACTGCAAGACAGTGGAAGCAACCAATAAGAGGATATCACTGGGCACATTTTGTCATATTAAGTCTTGAGTCAATGTCAAAGCAGCTGCTCAATTTTCAACAACCGTCTGCAAACAATTTAGTAATGCTTAGACGGAATGCAAGAATGTGTATTAGAGTGTTTTATTTATTAACACCACCAAACTTTTTGCACAAGAATTAAGAAATAAATGTATTAAATTAAAACATTACATAATTGTATTATTAGTAGTAATACTAATAAGAATGATACATGTAATGTTTAAAAGTACAATAATGCTTTACCTGTTGAAGACTGCTTTCTCATTGTTTGCATCGAAGGGGAGTGTAATGCTCTCCTTGGCGACGCTCTCTGTGATGATGTTGGCTCTGTCTTCTTCCTCACTGTCTGAGCCACTGGAGCTGCTGTCGGACGCCACCAGCGGAGCCTTCCTCGCCCCACACACACTCCACACACACGCTGACGAGCCTTTCACTGCAACACACACATGCTATCAACTCATGTTCATGGACCATTTCAAGAACATTTAGAACAAACAACAGTATTGTAAATATGCAAACAATAAATATTATATTATTATTAAATAATGTTTGCGTAAATGTTTAAGTGAAATGTAACTTTTAATCACAAAGCAAATTGTTCCAGTTTATGATTTAAAAATGCTGTCATCTTCCCCAATTTGTAAATGTCCATTGTAATTTCCATCCATGCGTTTAGGGTAGGGCTCTCGTGTGACAACCATTTTTTGGTAAAGCTCTTCTTTACAGCCACAAGCAATATATTCATTAAATATTTATCTTTTTTTAACCATTCTTGAGGTATATATCCAAAATATAAGGTTTTCTTGGCACTCAAAGGGGGAATATCTCCTCAACCACCACCAATGTGCAGCATCCACCTAGATGATGCGACAGTCACAGCAGCCATAGTGCACCAGAACGCCCATCACACACCACCTTATTGGTGGAGAGGAGACAGAGTGATAAAGCCAATGAGTATATTATTTATATATATATATATATATATATATATATATATATATATATATATATATATATATATATATATATATATATATGGGGATGATTAGGAGGCCATGATGGACAGAGGCAAATATGGCCAGGATGCCGGGGTTATACCCCTACTCTTTCGAAAGATCCTGGGATTTTTTTTGTGACCACAGAGAGTCAGGACCTCAGTTTTAACGTCTCATCCGAAGGACGGTGCTCTTTTGGCAGTATAGTGTCCCTGTCACTTTACTGGGGCGTTAGGACCCACACAGACCACAGGGTGAGCGCCTCCTGCTGGCCTCACTAACACCTCTTCCAGCAGCAACCTGGTTTTCCAGGAGGTCTCCCATCCAGGTACTAACCAGGCTCGGCCCTGCTTAGCTTCAGTGGGCAACCAGTCTTGGGCTACAGGGTGATATGGCTGCTGGCTTATAAAAGTTGGTAACATTTTACAGTGTTTATTTACAACAACAACAAAAAAACCAAATGTAAGTATTTGTTGTTCATTTAGTATAAGGAGGAATGATGCAAAAAAATGACATGAATATACTTTTAAAGAAATAAGCAAGTAAGCCACTCACTTTCTTCATTTTGGCTCTGTTTGTTTGGATTTTCCGAGTCCACAGGTGAACTGCATCTGGGTCCAGCATCTGAACTGCAGAACACCAGAACGTTTAGCACAGTGTCTACATGACCTGAATACACAATATCAACTAAAACACAGTCTCTCCCTCACCAGCAGAAAGGTTGGAAGTCAGTGAAAGTCGCCCATCCCTTCTCTTCCGTCTCGCTGAGCTGGGCGGTAGAGCTTCCCCACACGTTGGAGCCCGTATCTATAGCGATACTAGCAAAATCCCGACAGCTGAAGTCATCTTCAAAACTCGCTGTCCATCCAGGACCTGCTGGGTTATAATCGTTTTTCCATTCAGTTATTATATGAGATCAAGTGGGAGATCTAAATATAGATCATGTGAGCTGTGAGCTTACTCTGCGGATCGCTGGACTGCTTGTCCATGTCCTGGTTCTGGATCTTGTCTGGAGTTTGTTTGGACTCTGGAAACCACTCCATGTCAGGTGATCCCAGACGCCTGCGAGAGCCACCGTCCACCTCACTCTTCTGAGCATTTGTCACCAGTCCAAACCTATTAAAAATAAACAATAAACAGCAGTCAGAGCAGTCAATGTTTAGAGTGTGGGTGCAAGTGTGTGTGTGTCTGTGTGTTTTATGAACCTGCTTCTGGATTTCACTTGTGTTGCATAGTTGATTTCTTTATCCTCCCAAATATCTTCCTCCTCCTCAGGATCTTCAAACGGCCGTATTCGCTCCTTTGTGCAAGTCTCAAAGATTGCAGAGCTCTTCTGAGAGAGGAGAGAAACAGGAAGGGTAATAACAACAGTGAGAAAGGAAGAGAGTGAATAAGAAAAAAACAACACAAAAATGATAGTATGGTGAAAATTATAACCCAAACCCGAAAAAAACCCAAAGCGTAATAAGAATATAGAACAATTAATAATAATTGTA